TAAGCAAAACTGCCGATGACGATACCAAGATTCGAAAACTACCATTAGAAAATAGCCGCATACATTGGAATGAAATTCCAATCAAGCATGATGCTTAATAAACAAAGCGAAGCCAAAAATCTGCATGACCTACACTACAGCTACAATGAGAATCTTATCAAAAGATTAAAATGTGAACGTTGGGAAGACTCCTTAATGATGAGTGCAAATTCAGCAAAAAAAATTATCGCCATTTCGTTCTATTTAGTAAGACAGGCTTCCATCATAGAGATTGTAAAACAGGTTTGAGACAAAACATACCCTAAGGCTCACGTGTAATTGCACTACTAGCAACCGAAAATAGTGAGAGATGAACGAAGCCAAATGCCGATGGGTTTAGAAGCAAAGACACCACTTCAACCCCTACCAGAGACCAGAGCCGAAATGTGGAGAAAAGAGAGCTGGTTGGGTACTTCATGAGCGTGACTTCAATCGTAATCTACGTTACTTTACATGTTTCAGTAGAAATTCTCTTTTCGCACTGGCTTAAAGTTAAAAAGACAGCGTTACAACGACATCTAGGCAACAGCGCCTTCACCTCTATCAAATATGTGGCGAAGCAAGAAGTATGCAAGTTACTAAGGATGACAAGAGTTAAGGTCTGCATGGTACGCCCAAAAGACGATTTAGTGACCTGGAAGAGCGACGGCAACGGGGTGCAAGAGTATCAAGGACTTCCTTGTAACGCTATTAGCGTAGACCCTAGGAATACAATGATGGAAAGTACTTTCCCTCTGTTTACATCTCTGGGCTTAACCATGAGATCGTAAAAGAGACGAACTGTATGCCGCTGCGTGGGTGCTATTTGTAAAGTTAGGCAAAACTCACGTCGCAGTTGACTCCGGTTTGAAGTATGATACGCCGTATAGGAGACGCAGATCCAACAAGAACTTCACAAAAATGAGAGAACTTCTCGATCTGAGCAATCGATAAGGGAATGAGGTTACCTGAAACGAATTCCTTATATAGGGATCATCAATGTTAACGCATGTCACTCTACCATCATCCAAGAATCGACTAAACAATTTGCGATACCCAAACCCCGTTTCACCATCAGATATCTCAATATGTTCATGATAGTTACGATCTACACAAATGCATAAAAATTAAGGGAGCAACCTTTTTGTTTCTGCTGAATTGTTTTCTTTATTTCTTCGCCATGAGAAATGTAGGCCTCGATCTTCTCCTTCAGTTTCAATCTCAGATTTGGTTCTTAAATAAACGCTTTTATACTTACCAGATTCACATTTCAAGCACTTCAGCAATAACCCTATACCTTCTTCAAAACAGATTAGTGATTGTGTGAGTTTGCCTTCCGATTCCAGCGACATACCTCGGACAATGATTTCCGAGGCAGAAGAAAGCAGACACTCAGCCATAAACGCACAAATAACTACCAATTTCACGCAACACACGAGGTATCTACAATTCGTGTTGAGGAATGCAAATGAGAATAGATCAGGAATAGTCAAATGGCAGAACGTGGGAACTTCGAAACAAAACCGGATTAGAAAAGGTTTGCATTTAAGGCTAAAGAGCCCACGAGAAAGTGAAAAAATACAACAAGGACTTAAAAATTTCTGCTTGATTCGTTATGTAACTCTGTGAGAAATAGGACGTTCACAGAACTAGCTCCACGGAATGCAAGACTGCAAAAATACCTGCAACCTTCGAAAGATAACAAGTCCCCAGTATGAATTAATTTAATGGTTTTGTTGCGCCAAAACCTGCATTGGCTATAAATCCAAAAAAGATTAATTACTAAATATATATTTACTTTGGTTTCGCAAAAAGGAAGCCTAAAATTAGAAAAGAGGGGTTAAAATGTTTTACATAACTGGTGGTCACAATATGTATATCACTGCATGAAATGTTTGCTTTGATGCAGACCGAAAATACTTTTACAATATTTGTTTCCTTAAATTTGTTATGTGTAATTTGTTTATTGCTATCAAATCCTTTCTCTGCTTCCGTAGTGCTCGGGCGCCGAACACGGTACTCGGGAGGTGTGTTGGCCGTTCGTGTCGGTTGTCTGGTTGGCGGTTTAGCAGTAAATGCGATGAGGCCCGAGGCGTAAGTTACTACGTTGCAAGTCAATTATCCTCGCATTTCTAATTATGTGCGTGTACTGTCGAAAGACATTTGTCAATGTGTATACGGCACGGTTTTACTGCAGTTCTACTCAGGATTTGAGTCGCCAGATTAAGAAACAACGTTCTGCCTCTCGAATTGGAAATGGGAAATCAAACATACAGTGTACGAACATGGTTGTGGCATTCTTAACTACTTTTAGATACCTGTCAAAACAATGTTGCCACTCGCTCCAGTAAAGGTCGCCAAATTCGTTACCTAAAAATTCCAAAGGCTGCGGACTTCATGAGCCCGAGGATTGTGCAGTATTTCTCCGATATTCAGAGGGAAAACATCATCGAACAAATGAGGCTAACATGCGAGAGCTGATGTTGTATGCACATGTCTATGTTGCTATTGATATTGGATATTAATAACTGTTCCTGTCCAAACTTTCTCCTCTCGAGTGGGGTCGCTTGGGTTCTAGGAGCGGTGGTTCTGTGCTGTGCCGCGGTAAACTCCCCGATCTGGTGTTACTGTAATTTGGGAGGATTCCACTACCCGTTACCTGTGCTGATTTGATGTGCTGGGCGTGAACAGTTTTGCTGCAATTGAGTGTAAGCAGTATGTAGGAGTCGTAAGGTCGTCGAGTGGCGACTACGGTGTGTGGTTTATCAACCTACGGGCTTT